TTGCTTGAACCTGGAAGGTAAAGGTTGCTGTGAGCCAAGATCGCACCATTGCACTCTAGCCTGGGCGACAGGGCAAAACTCTGTCTCGAAAAAAAAAAAATTATTATGAGAATGATTTTATTTCATTATTCACTTATTGACTTATTTGGAAAGGAGTCTCACTCTGTTGTCCAGGGTAGAGTACAGTGGTGTCATCACAGCTCACTGCAGCCTCAAACTTCTGGGCTCAGGCGATCTTCCCATCTCAGCCTCCAGGGTAGCTGGGACCACAGGCATGCGCCACCAGGAACAAGACTAGAATCCATGGCTCAAACCAACATCTTCCTTTCCCAGAGAGGGAAACTGAGGTCCCAAGGGGGCAAGTATTTGCTCAAGGTCATGTAGCACGTGAAGAATGGATCTAGGAAGCAGAGGCAGCCACCTGGCTCCCGGCCGAGGGTCCCATCCCCCACCCCAGCTTGGCTCAAACCAACCATAACATTGGGACACTTTTAATCAGATAGAACGCATGCTTATCAGATTTAATTATAACATTGCTCAGGGGAAGAGACTTAGTCTACTAAGATGGGGAGGGAGAAGGTGAGCAAGGGTGCTCCTTAACCCCACTGGCTCCCTCCTCCTCCTTCCTCCCCTGCTGGGGTATTGGATGTCTCTGCAGTAGCTAAGCTGGGTTTGGCTGGACCAGGAGGAAGGATGAGGGTTACCTGCAGAGCAGGTCACAATGTGGCCCGGAGAGCTCCCTGTTTGCTTGGTCCCCTTGAAACAAAGGCTGCCTCTGTTTCTGAGACAAGGAAAGATGGGGAAGGGGGTCTCTGTCATTCTGCTGAAGGAAAAAGTGGGAGCGAGCCTGAGCAGGGGAGAAGAGGACTCACTTGGTGGCAGCACCAGGCCACCTGCCTCAGACCTACCTGCTAAGCTCCCAAACCTTGTTCCCATAAGTCTGGCCTCCTGGAATCCAAGGAGTCCATGCTCCAAACTTGTTCACTGCTCCTCACCTCAGAACCCAGGGAGATTCCCATTCCCCGGGAGCTGCCTCTCATCATGATGGGAGGTGCTTACTTCTGGGAATATTCAAATCCTTGGTTCCCATCTCCTGGTCCTGTGACCTTGAGTGAGTGAGTTCATGTCCCTGAGTCTCAGCTTCCCCACAATAGAACATGGCTTGTCTTCCTGCATCCCAAGGTCATTCAATAGATTAGATAGATAGATAGATAGATAGATAGATAGATAGATAGATAGATGACAGATAGAATAATTTTTTTTTTCTTTGAGACACTCTGCTGCCCAGGGTGGATTGCAGTGGTGCTATCTTAGCTCACTGCAGCCTCAACCTCCTGGGTTCAATCGATCCTCCTACCTCAGCCTCCTGAGTAGCTGGGACTACAGGCGAGCCACCACACCAGGCTAATTTTTGTATTTTTTTATAGAGACGGAGTTTTACTATGTTGCCCAAGCTGGTACAAGGTCATTTTTTTTTTTCTTGAGATGGAGTCTTGCTGTGACACCCAAGCTGGAGTGCAGTGGCGCTCCCTCAGCTCACTGCAAACTCCGCCTCCCAAGTTCAAGCGATTCTCCTGCCTCAGCCTCTTGAGTAGCTGAGACTACAGGCACACACCACCATACCCAGCTAATTTTGTATCTTAGTAGAGACAAGGTTTTGCCATGTTGGTCAGGCTGGTCTCAAACTCCTGACCTCATGTGATCCACCTGCCTCTGCCTCCCAAAGTGCTGGGATTACAGACGTGATCCACCATATCCAGCAGTCAAAGTTCATCCTAAGGATTAAATGTCAAAGCTTTTAGAGTCACAGAAGAGACTGGAAACATGGCTTGGATAATTACCTCTCTTTATACTAATTCTCTGCGTGCATGTTCCATGTTTGAAAGGCATTCCCAGTCATGACTATCATTCACAGGGAATAAATCACCAGCCCCTGTACTCAGATGGTGTGACCCAGGCCACAAGAGATTGAGTGGCTTGTTCAATGTCCTGTAAAGGCAGAAACAACTCTACAGCCCACGGCTCAAAAGTCCCGCTGGAGCCCAACCCAGAGGCACTGAGTGGGAAGAGCAGGAAATCACAATTCAGCCAAGCCACGCTCTCATCTTGGCTGTGCCACAAACAGTGTGTGACCTTGGGTGGTGACTTTGCATGAAGCGTGTTTTCAACTTTCTGACTGATGATTTCAGTGTCATTGGCCAGTTATGCGATGCAAGGCAAGTGACTTCGCTTTTCTGAACCTCAGTTTCCTCATCTGTGAAATGGGGTTGCCAGGAGGGCTCAACGAGCCATGGCCCACAGGATGCCTGGCACAAAGCTTGGTATACAGTGGGTGCCCAATAAATGAAAATGTAGCAATGGTGGGCTGGGAACAGTGGCTCATGCCTGTAATCCCAGGACTATGGGAGGCCAACGTGGGCAGATTACTTGAAGCCAGGAGTTCGAGACCAGCCTGGCCAACATAGTGAAACCCTGTCTCTACTAAGAATACAAAAATTAGCCTGGCGTGGTGGTGGGCGCCTGTAGTCCCAGCTATTTAGGAGGCTGAGGCAGGAGAATCACTTGAACTCGGGAGGCAGAGGTTGCAGTGAGCCGAGATCACACCACTGCATTCCAGCCTGGGCAACAGAGCAAGACTGCATCTCAAAAAAAAAAAAAAAAGAAAGAAAATGTAGCAATGGCCATCACAGTTCACTGCACCCTCAAACTTCTGGGCTCAGACGATCCTTCCATCTCAGCTTCCCAAGCAGCTGGGACCACAGGCGTGTGCCACCAGGAACAAGGCAAGTGCTAGCGGTCAGTATTGCTGTGATTAGTATTATCGTTAGGAGAGGGAGAAGACAGGATGGGATCGCCTTGGGAATCTTGCTCCCATGACTGTCCTGGAGAGGAATTCCTGGAAGGAGACATCGGGACCCTTCTCTCACCTTCCATGGGGTAGAGACGAGAATGGAGCCAGGCCAGCCACCCTCCTGAAAGCCACAAAGTTCCACTAAGTGAAGCGATCCAGCAAGAAGGACTGCTGGTATCACACTCAGAGCAAGGCTTTGTGGGGACAGAAGAGAGGGGTGGCCCATAGCCACCTCAGGAGACTCTGATTTAGGGACTGAAAGCTGGGGAGGCAGCCCTGCCTCAGCAGCCAGACACTTCTGCCCCCGGTGAGGACTTCTCTGGAGGAAAAGCCACACAGAGGAGGAGCCAGCCTTGATGTGGAGCATGCTCTGCTGGAAGCTGGGGGCAGAAAGGTCAGGGGGGGAGGGGTGTCTGACTCTGTGACGTCACTTAGCTGTGTGACCTCAGGCAGCTCACCTGATCTCTCTGAGCTTCCATCACTCAACTATGGGCATCACCACAATTCCTGCCCTTCCCAGCTCCCCAGGCTGTTGAGTGCCCTTCAGGACGCCGTGGGCTGGCTTTGTAAACTGTCAGGCACCTTAGGATGAGGCACTGCCCTCATTAACCACCAAGCTCCCCTAAATAGACAGGTAAGGTGGGGTAGGTGGACGGGCAGCACATGAGGTGCCATTCCAGGAAGCCAAAATGGAAAGAGGGGAACAGTCATGGGGCCCTGGCCCCTCCTGCCCCTCTGCCACACCCACTCTCACCTCCTGCCTCCTTTGCCCGGGACACTCCAAGGGAACCCTGACGGTGGTATTGGAGATCCCGGGCCTTGGCTTTCAATCTTCCCTCTGCTATGGCACATGCACTGTCCTGGGAGTCATCAGCCATTGGTCCTGGACTCTGGTGGCTGGGGGCTACGTGAGGATAAGGTAATCTGCCCAGGAGGCGGGGCAGGTGACGGGAGAAGAGCTTGGACAGTGGCATTTGCAGCCCCAGGAAGCCAACCAGCCAGAGTGTCACGTGGTCACCTAAATGTTCCCCTACCAACCTCAGCTTCACGATGCCAAGCAGGACCCCCTCCCTAGGAAGCCCGGTTCTCCTATGGTAGCGGCCAAGTACAGCAGCTAAGAGCCTGGCTGGGCACTAGCACCACACTCCCTGGGTTCGAAGCTCGGCTCCTTCTTCTCAAGCTGTGAAATCTTGAGTAAGTTACTTAACCTCTCTGTACCTGTTTCCCCAGCTATAAAATAAGAGTGATAACAATAACACTTATCTCATTGGGGTGTCAGGGATGAGGCATTTACACACCTACTGTGCTTTGTTAGCAAAGTGCTCGGCACGAAGTAAGTGCTCAGCAAGGATTACGTGATCATTCACTGGCCACGGAAAAGAGGCTGCCTCCAAAAACTGAGCTCTCCATCCCCAGAGATAGTCAAGCTGTGGCTCAACAGCCACCTGTTGGGGATTCATGGCCTGGATGACCTTCAAAATGCCTCCCAACTGTGAGCCCATAAAGTCCCCTGTAAAATAGCTCCCACCTGCTGCATTCCTCCTCCCTACTGTGGCCAGGATGGGCTGCGATGGGCTGTGATGGGCTGGGAGAGAGCTAGCAGGGTGGAAAAGGCAAGGAGAAACAGCCAGGAACAGTCACAGAGGACCAAAGAAGGAGCCCTCGACAGGGAGTCCACCAGTCTGGCTTCCAGCCCCAGTTCCGCCACCAATGCACCAATTCACCTTCAGTGACTCCCTCTCCTCCAAGCCTGTTTTCCCAACTGTAAAATGATGCCATTGAACTGAAGCCATCTCAAGCTGCGTCCCTCACTCTGTGACCCTAAGCAGGAAGTGAGGAAAGTCCCTACCACACATGTCCTTCTTGCAGGCTACCTCTGCCTTTCTCACTCTGGGTTGCCCTGACCTGCCCCGCTAGGTGGCCGCAGGGTCGGGCTCACGCCCATAGAGGCACCCAGGACAGCTCTCCTCACCGACTCCATCCCAGGGTGTCCCCAAGCTCCAGCACCTTCTGGGAGGGATCAGGGTGTCCCTGGGCCTGAAGCCCAAGGGTGACAATGACTGCGGGGACCCCTCCCCCACGATCTCCAAAAGGTTATCCTCCAACTCAGCGAGGGACAGAGATGGGTAAAAACAAAAAGGAAACTGACCTGAATCCTGTGCAGTCCAATCGCAGTCCTCCGGGAAGGGAGCACAAGTGGCAGGGGCAGCCCCTTTGGACTGGGAAGGGTCCTGTCTGTTGGTTGAAGTAGCTGGCAGGGCAGGCAGGAGCCCAGAGGGTGAGTAGGCTGGCTCCCGGGCTGGGTCCACACAGGGCCCAGGTGTGTGAGTCACTCACTTGCCCGACCTGCCGGGCAGGTGAGGGCAGTGGGGAGGAGGACAGGAGGCGGCCCTGGCAGTCCACGAGGAAAAGCTACACTGAGTCAAGCCAGCCGGGGCTGGGCCATCCATCAGCCAGCCTGGGAGGACCCGGAAGCTGGCCCAGGTGAGGAAGGGAGGGGCGAGAACTGAGATAGGGCCTCCAGAGGGGGGTGTCAAGCAGCGGGGCTGAGCTGCCACCACTGCGTGCCACTGGGAAGGCACACAGGGCCCGGGTACAGGGCAGGGTTGGAGGGTCACTCATGGGCTGCACCTCTTTTAGCCAGAGAAGGTGGAAAGAAATATGCTTTGAAGTCAGAGAGATTCAGGTGCCAGTCCCTGCCCTCCCCAGCCGTGTGACATCCTGCAACGGCCTGTCTTTCCGAGCTTCAGTTTCCTCCTATTTTTCCTTTTCTTTTCTTTTTTTTTTTTTTTTTT